CGCGCCCTCTTCCAGCCCCTGCTGAAACTGACCACCAGCGGCTGAATCAGGATGCCTGGGGCAGAGCAGCTGGGGTGTTGCCGGGTTGGTCCAGTAGCGCCCAGAGCGGCGCTATGGGACCAACCGACAGCGCCCCAGCTGCTGTACCACAGGCGTCCGGAGCAAAGCCGCGGAGCATGGGGGCAGCGGGACAGCCCAGATGCGCCGTGGCTGTCCTGCTGCCCTCAGGCTCCGTGGCTTTGCTCTGCTTTGCTCCCCATCCCCCTGGTAGCCAAGGTGCAGAGGAGACAACAGAAAATGAAGGCATGCACATGTTAGCCATGTTACTTGCTGGTCTGAAAAGTTTCACTTCTAATTTAATATCTTTGTTGATTTCTACTAGAGTTGCACCTGAGCTGCAGAATTCAGGACCAGGCAGTGGTGTAGCGAGGGGAGCGGGTGGGTGGGGAAGAGCACTTGCTCCCGAGCACCACTCTAGGGGGGCACCAATTTAATCCCCCTCCACTCCCCCTGTCATCCCTTGATTAACCTGCTCCTCCTCCACCTGCTGCCACTGGCTGGAGCTTCCTTTCTGCATCTCCACCCCCAGCCCAACCCTCCTCCATCTCCACTGGTGGGTTAGTGTGTACGGGGTCCCGGCCCCAAACTGGAGGGGGCAGGGGAAAACCCTTCCCAGGGTCGGGCTCAGCGGTGCACCAGGTTCAGGGTCCTGCTGCATGGCAGCAGTGGGGGGGGGGACACAAATTTTGCTTTGCCCCCATGTGCATAACACCCTCACTACACCTCTAGGACCAGGTTAGGGTCTGTTCACCTCAGACTTGGTTCGGTCCATTGGTTTGGCCTGTTAATAATCAATTCATAATATTCAACCTACAAAGATGAGATTTCAGATCCAGCCTCCAGACCTGCCTTCATATCATGCTCAGGCCCATGTCTAATTTATTCAGATTGGCCCCCAACAATCCCCCAGCCCCTATACATATTGTGCATTGAATAGCACCCCAAACAACAACATAATCTAAGACCAAATTAGCATTTTCATATCCCATTGTCTTTCACATACCTATACAGGAAGGGTATGCTCAGCCCCATAGGGAACCTGAGTATTTCAGTCCTCAGACAGACCAGCTGCCAGTTCTCGCACTGCAAGTATAACAGCTGCTGGGCACAGAGAACCCATCCTATGTGCATTGGACTCTTAGCCTCACTCTCTATAATCCTTCTTGCCCATTCCATCTCTTTGTGGGCATGTTGATGGGGTGGGCAGATAATGGAATAGATCTAGTGCTGGTATCTGGCTATTTAATCACTCACTGATTGCACAGGATGTGACTGGTAAGGACTCTTATAATTACAAATTCTTACAGTCTGGGGGAAAGTACAGAGCTGGCTGCCAGGTGCCCTGCCCTCATCTATGGGAGAGGGAGATGACCATATGTTCACTATCTCACTGTTGAATATTGGACTACAACTGCCCTGCTTTGCAGCCTCATGCTGAAAGGGCATAACAAGTGGGATTCCACAGGGGTCTGCTTTGGGGCCGGTTCTGTTCAATATCTTCATCAATTATATAGATATTGGCATAGAGAGTACGCTTATTAAGTCTGCAGATGATACCAAGCTGGGAGGGGTGGCAAGTGCTTTGGAGGATAGGGTCGTAATTCAAAATGATCTGGACAAACTGGAGAAATAGTCTGAGATAAATAGGATGAAGTTTAATAAGGACAAATGCAAAATGCTCCACTTAGGAAGGGACAATCCGTTTCACACATACAGAATAGGAAGCGACTGTCTAGAAAGGAGTACGGCAGAAAGGGATTTAGGGGTCATAGTGGACCACAAGCTGAATATGAGTCAAACAGCAAACATGATTCTGGGATGCCTTTACAGGAGTGTTGTGAGCAAGCCACAGGAAGTCATTCTTCCGCTCTACTCTGTGTTGGTTAGGCCTCAGACCGAGTATTGTGTCCAGTTCTGGGCACCACATTTCAAGAAAGATGTGGAGAAATTGGAGAAGGTCCAGAGAAGAGTAACAAGAATGATTAAAGGTCTAGAGAATATGAGCTATGAGGGAAAGCTGAAGGAATTGGGCTTGTTTAGTTTAGAAAAGAGAAAACTGAGAGGGTACACAATAGAGGTTTTCAGGTATCTAAAAGGGTGTCACAGGCAGGAAGGGGGAAAATTGTTTTCCTTGGCTTCTGATGATAGGACAAGAAGCAATGGGCTTAAACTGCAGCAAGGGAGGTTTAGGCTGGACATGGGGAAAAACTTCCTGCCTGTCAGAGTGGTTAACTACTGGAATAAATTGCCTAGGAAAGTTGTGGGATCTCCATCGCTGGAGATATTTAAGAGCAGGTTGGATAGACATCTATCAGGGATGATCCAGGCAGGGACCTGGACTTGATGATCTTTCAAGGTACCTTCCAGTTCTAGTGTTCTAGGATTCTATGTAGCCAGCCTGCCTGTAAATGAAAGGGTAAGAGTCACTCTGTCTTGTAACCTTGTGCTTTCCCCATCTGCAGGACCCCCAGAAGAACCGAGTGTTCCAGTGGCGAGAGGTGGAGTTAAATGGGGGCCTCAGCCAGCTCTCCTTCCTCCTCACCTCTGAGCCCATCCAAGGCACCTACAATGTGGTGGTACAGAAGGAGTCGGGGACAAATCTAGAACATTCCTTTACTGTGGAGGAATATGGTAAGGAAGGGTCTCACTCCTGCTGGGGCTGGGAGAGTTAGAAACAGGAATAAATGTCTGGGAACCATTCCAAGCACAAAAATCTGGTTCAGGATTGTCAGGGATGTCTAGATGAGTGACGAGTGATCTAAGAAACAGACCAGGAAATACTAAATGCTTTAAGGGATCATGATCTGAGCCTTCATACAGTATTGTATAGCTTTCTCCCTAGCACTTGAACTGTCAGGGTCACTGTTCACTGTATGCCTGGGAGTATCTGAGTCTGAATAAAAAGGCCTATCCCTTGAGCCTCCTAAATATGGGCTGTGATTCCAGCCTCCATAAAATGCAGCTTCATTTTTGTTAGGGTTTTTCTATCAGTTATGGTAGGGGTGCAGAACAAACTGTGGGAATGCTGCATGCTAGGGGCACAGTTTGCTCCCCCTGTGTTCTTCCACTCACGTCTCCTTTCTACCCTTCTCCCACTCTGGTCTTCACACCTTTGTCCTTGCAGCCTCTGGCACCCAGAACATCTTCAAACTTTCAAAATAAACAAACAAAACCACTTTGGCTGGAGACCAAGCCTCGAAAATATCAGTCCCAAAGGAGACTCCTCTGGAAGGTTTATGAGGAAAGCAAAATTGGGGTCAGTGGCAGGGGTGGTAGATTCTCAAAGAACCCGTTTTTCAAACTTGTTTATAATGTTTGCCACTAGTCACCCAAGGAGAGAGAAATGACAACTCTGTCTAGTCTAGGGAAATGTACTAACCCCAACCACTTGTGCCTCTCATGAGCTCTCTTTCAGCAAGCCTAAGAACCAGGTAATTCTGAGCAGATTAGTAACAGTGGCTCCTCTGCTGTTCAACAGGGCATTTTGAAACTTATAGACTCATAGACTCATAGACTTTAAGGTCAGAAGGGACCATTATGATCATCTAGTCTGACCCCCTGCACAGTGCAGGCCACAGAATCTCGCCCACCCCTCTTAGAATAATCCTCTCACCTATGTCTCAGATATTGAAGCCTTCAAATACTTTGAAGGCCCCAACATGCAGAGAGTCCTTCAGCTGTGATCTGTGCCCAATGCTACAGAGGAAGGCGAAAAACCTCCAGGGACTCTGCCAATCTACCCTGGAGGAAAATTCCTTCCTGACCCCAAATATGGCGATCAGCTAAACCCTGAGCATGTGGGCAAGACTCACCAGCCAGACACCCAGAAAGTTCCCTATAATGAATGGTCAATTAGTTACCAAGATCATGTTATTTCATCCAACCATCCCCTTATCATAGAATCATAGAACTGGAAGAGACCTCAGAAGGTCGTCAAGTCCAGCCCTCCGCTCTAGGCAGGACCAATCCCATCTAAATCAACCCGGCCAGGGCTTTGTCAAGCCGAGACTTAAACACCTCTAGGGATGGAGACTCCACTACTTCCCTAGGTAACCCATTCCAATGCTTCACTACCCTCCTAGTAAAATAGTTTTTCCTAATATCCAATCTGGCCCTCTCCCAACTTGAGACCATTGCTCCTTGTTCCCACCACAACTTGAGACCATTGCTCCTTGTTCTGCCATCTGTCACTACTGAGAACAGCCTCTCTCCATCCTCTTTGGAACCTCCCTTCAGGAAGTTGAAGGCTGCTATCAAGTCCCCCCTCACTCTTCGCTTCTGCAGACTAAACAGACCCAAGTCCCTCAGCCTCTCCTCGTAGGTCATATGCTCCAGACCCCTAATCATTTTGGTTGCCCTCCGCTGGACCCTCTCCAATGCGTCCGCATCCTTTTTGTAGTGGGGGGCCCAGAACTGGACACAGTACTCCAGATGTGGCCTCACCAAAGCCGAATAAAGGGGAATAATGACATCTCTGGATCTGCTGGCAATGCTCCTCTTAATGCATCCTAATATGCCATTAGCCTTCTTGGCTACAAGGGCACACTGTTGACTCATATCTAGCTTCTCATCCACTGTAACCCCCAGGTCCTTTTCTGCAGAACTACTACTTAACTGGTTGGTCCCCAGCCTGTAACTATGCTTGGGATTCTTCCGTCCCAAGTGCAGGACTCTACACTTGTCTTTGTTGAATCTCATGAGATTTCTAGTGGCCCAATCCTCCAATTTGTCCAAGTCACTCTGGACCCTATCTCTGCCCTTAAGCGTATCTACCTCTCCCCCTAGCTTAGTGTCATCTGCAAACTTGCTGAGGGTGCAATCTATCCCCTCATCCAGGTCATTAATAAAGATATTGAACAAAACCGGTCCTAGAACCGAACCTTGGGGCACTCCACTAGAAACCGACCTCCATCCTGACATCGAACCGTTGATCACTACCCGCTGGGCCCGGCCTTCTAGCCATCTTTCTATCCATCTTACCGTCCATTTATCCAATCCGCATTCCCTTAACTTGCTGGCAAGAATATTGTGGGAGACCGTATCAAAAGCCTTGCTAAAGTCAAGGTATATAACATCCACTGACTTTCCCATGTCCACTGAGCCAGTTACCTCATCATAGAAGCTAATCAGATTGGTCAAGCACGACTTGCCCTTTGTGAATCCATGCTGACTATTCCTGATCACTTTCCTCTCATTCAAGTGTCTCAAAATGGACTCCTTTATGATCCCTTCCATGATTTTTCCAGGAACCGAGGTAAGACTGACCGGCCTATAGTTCCCTGGATCGTCCTTCTTCCCTTTTTTGAAGATGGGCACTACATTTGCCTTTTTCCAATCATCCGGGATTTCGCCCGATCTCCACGACTTTTCAAAGATAATGGCCAAAGGCTCCTCAATGACATTTGCCAACTCCTTCAGTACCCTTGGGTGCATTAAGTCTGGACCCATGGATTTGTGTACGTTTAGTTTTTCTAAATAGTTCCTAACCTGTTCTTTACCCACCAAGGGCTGTCCATCTTCTTCCCATCTTGCGTCGCTTAGCACAGAAGTCCAGGAGCCGACCTTGTCCGTGAATACAGAGGCAAAGAAAGCATTGAGTACTTCAGCTTTCCCCACATCCTCTGTCACTAGGTTACCTCCTTCATCCATTAGGGACTGCACACCCTCTCTGATCACCTTCTTCTTGTTGACATGCCTGTAGAAACCTTTCTTGTTATCCTTCACATCCTTAGCCAGTCGCAACTCCATTTGCGCTTTCGCCTTCCTGATAACCCCCCGGCATTCTCGAACTATACATTTAAGCTCCTCCCTAGTCATTTGTCCAAGTTTCCACTTTCTGTAAGCTTCCTTTTTGTGCTTAAGTACACCAAGGATTTCCCCTGTAAGCCAATCCGGTCTCCTACCAGGTTTGCCTCTCTTGCTACGTGTCGGGATGGTTTCTTTCTGTGCCTTCAATAAGGCTTCTTTAAAATACTGCCAGCTGTCCTGGACTCCTTTCCCCTTCATGTTAACATCCCAGGGGATTCTTTCCATCAGATCTCTGAGGGAGTCAAAATCTGCTTTTTTGAAGTCCAAGGTGTGTATTTTACTACTCTCTTTCCTTCCTTTGGTCAGGATCCTGAAATCTACCATCTCATGATCACTGCTTCCCAGGTTGTCACCCACCTCTACGTCCCCTATTAGTTCCTCCCTGTTTGTGAGGAGAAGGTCAAGCTGTGCACGGCCCCTGGTCGGATCCTTCAGCACTTGTACCAAGAAGTTATCCCCAACATTCTCCAAAAACTTCCTGGATTGCCTGTGTACTGCCGTATTGGTTTCCCAACAGATGTCAGGGTGATTAAAGTCCCCCATGAGAACCAGGGCCTGCGATCTGGAAGCTTCGCTCAGTTGTTCGAAGAAAGCCTCATCTACCTCATCCACCTGGTTCGGTGGCCTGTAGCAGACACCAACCACAACATCACTGCTGTTTGCTCCTTTAAACCTGACCCATAGACTTTCAACAAGTTTTTCTCCCTCTTTATACTGGAGTTCAGAGCAATCATAGTGCTCTCTTACATATAGTGCAACTCCTCCTCCTTTTCTCCCCTGCCTATTCTTCCTGAACAATCTATACCATTCCATGACAGCGCTCCAGTAGTGCGAGTCATCCCACCAAGTCTCTGTTATCCCAATTAAATCATATTTCTTGGTCTGGGCCAGGGCCTCCAGTTCTTCCTGCTTGTTGCCCAGGCTTCTCGCATTAGTGTACAAACACTTCAGGTAACCAGTTGATTGCACTTCTCCATTCGAAACTGGGGTCCTCCTTTCTCGCTCCTTGCTCTATGCATTTCTTCCCGGTATCTGACTTTCCCACTCCCCTCAGGGTTTTGGTCACCGTCCCCCGACGAACCTAGTTTAAAGCCCTCCTCACTAGGTTCGCAAGCCTGCCCGCGAAGATGCCGCTCCTTCCTCTCTTGGTTAGGTGGATCCCATCTCTTCCTAACAATCCTTGTGCCCGGAACAAAGTCCCATGGTTGAAGAAACCAAAGCCCTCTCTGCGACACCACCTGCGCAACCACGCATTTACGTCCTCAATTCGACGATCCCTGCCCAGTCCTTTCCCTTCAACAGGGAGGATGGACGAGAACCCCACTTGCGCTTCAAATTCTTGGATCCTTCTTCCCAGTGCTACATAATCCGCAGCAACCCGCTCAACTTCCCAGAAACCACTGCATCTGGGGGTCTGTGCTAGAAACTGTGACATAGGCACCATATGGCATCACAACTGAAGGGCTTTTGAAGCCCTATTCGTGCGCATGTAGGGCGAACCTGCAGAGCTCCAAACACCAGTCAGCATGGCAATGTGGGCATGCTGACCAGCCTGTGCTTAGACTGGGCTGATCTCACACGTTGTGACCTGGCTCTGAACAGACAGTCATCTCCTTGCTTGGGGTGCCTCTGCATGTGCTACTCTAAGCTATGCTGGTTTTTCCCTGAGCCTTATAGCTGCAGCAGTTCTTATTAAGCTTGCTCTTTCTCACGCACTCGCACTATTACCGTCTTATTCAGCTAGTTCAAAACTTCTGAGGAAATTCATTTTGGCGCTGACCCTTGACATTGCCATGCCCAGCCAGGAGGGGCATGCCATCCATGGGCTCAGCCATCAGGAAACAATATTTGCTTTTACTGTGCTAAGAAACAGCTTTTATCTGACTCTTTCCATTCAGGATAAGTTTTAAATGGCTCAACTCTTGTGGGCTGATTCACTGGTGCGTTCCATTTGCTTCATATCCGTCCAGGGATGCAAAGTAACTGGGCTTATGTCTACTTTGCTTCCTTGGAGCAGCACAATAGCCAGAGCACACAATAAATGTGGCCCTTTAAATCTGGCGAGTGATGAAGTTGTTCCAGGGAGCTGAGTCCACACAAGGTATCACTTGCCCAGCAATTGGTTTAGAATACAGCTGCTAAAGCAATGGCAGCCCAGTGGCTGGGGTTGGGCAAGTGGAACAAAGGGGAGGGGAGCAGGGATTACTCTGCTTTCTCTGTGGTTCCAAAGTCTCTTGCCAGCTGGTGTAAATTGGCACAGCTGCACTGATGGCTGAGGATCTGGCCCATGCATAGGGGCCAGGGAGACAGGCTGGGTCTGTCACTCAGTGGGGAAGTGACTGTGATGTGAGTGTGCTCCCTCCGCTCTGTCCAGCATCTGGCCCTTCTCTCCCCCTCAGTGCTGCCCAAGTTCGAGGTGTCGGTGAGGATGCCCAAGAAAATCACCATCCAGGATGAGGAGCTGAAAGTAGCTGTCTGTGGCCTGTGAGTTGCGGGGCTTGAGTTGCTCTTCTTTCTGCTCCCCCACCATTGCCTTCCCACTACCAGCCCGGAAACCAGAGCTGGAGGAGGCCCCTTGGGTCACTTTTACTCCATCTCCAGCCCATGGGCAGGATTGTTCCCTGATCTCTAGTCTGCCCACAGCGCTGGCTTCAAACACCCCAAGAGATGGGGCTCCTCCCCCTGCCCCAGGAAATGAAGTGTCAGCCTCACACAGCTCTCTGTAAGGAAGGTTTTTTTTCTTAACATCATTCCAGCCCATGAGCAGACTCACCAGATTTATCACCTTCCTTTCCTCCTCACAAGCCCCTCCCTCCACTCCTTTCCATATTCCTCTGTACACCCTCCAATGTGTCTCATGCTTTGGGGTGAAGAGATGCCTGGCGCTGAAGACGTGATCTGGGTGGGTCTCATGTAACAGTGGCAGGAGATGATAAGTCCTCTCTCTGCAGTGCTAGTGAGTCACCAGCTGCTCTGAGGACACTGTGCTTGGAACCCTGTCCTCAGGTGCCAGGGCTGATACCCGCTCTGGCACTTTGAATGCAGAACAGTGGGGCCCACAAGAATCTTTAAAATATCCTGCCACTAAAGGCTTCTGTTTAAAAACTCCTGAAGGTCACCAATTCCCTGGCCTTGGATTAGTATCGCTGCCACCACCCAATGCAAATCCCCCTTTGTGAACCCAGGAGGATGAATTTGGGAATGTCAACCCATGGGGTATCCCCAAGTTCTTTCACCCTTCCTCTGGAAAGAGCTTGAAAAAAAACTGTCATTGTTCTTAATAGCTGGTTTTTCAGTCTCAGGCATGTGCACACCGAATCTCCTGCCTTCTAGGACACGGGAATCAGATCGTGATCTTAAAAAGGCAATTTTTATTAACAAAACAAAGAAAAAACACTTGGTGACACTTTACTTGGTTGCCACTTGTTACAGAGCAACTGAAAAAAGAAAGATTAAAACACAGAGAATTGCTTTCCTAGGATTCAGTTTAGAAAGTTATGGTGCAAGGGAATAGTTACTTGTGCTCACCACAGAGACATCCAACAAACCCCCAAATAAAGAAAATAACCTGATTGCATCTGACTAAACATTGCCTGTTCTATTCACATATCTTGTTCCAAGGTTTAATCCTTCCCTAGGCATGGATGTTGCTGAATTCTCCATGCCCTGCTCCCTGGCTCAGTTCATGTTTTCCAGCTCTGCTCTGGTCATACAAAGACTAGAACAGGAAAATCACTGCTTCTAATTCCAAAACCCACACTCTGTTTTCATTAGCTCTCTTGGCTTCCTACCAACTCAGTTTCTGCTTCTCTAGCATTTCTGCAAACTCTCTAGGGCTACATCTAGACAGCAGGGCAATTTCAGGATGCTGGAAGTATCCTGATAAAGCAATTCCACATCTTTAAATGTGCCTGTTATTTTGAAATAATGGGCGTACTATTCTGGCAGCCCTGTAACCCTCATTCCATAAGGGTTAAATAGTGCTTTATTTTGAAATTTGGCATTGCTTAGACAGCATCAAATTTCAAATTAAGCTATTTCGAAAATAACCTCAAAATAAGCTACTTAATTTGCATAGTACAAATTGCATAGCTTATTTCGAGGTAAGGGTGCTGTGTAGATACACCCTAGGACCTACTGTCTATGCTTTTAACCCCTTACAGGCAATTTAGTTAACTGTATGACTAGGATGTTTAGGAAAGTGCAGAACCCCTCCCATTCATCACAGCAGGTCCGGGCTTTCTCATACCAGAAAGGTTTGGCTAAATGGGAGGGAGCTGGAAGAAGGAAAACTCATGTGATTGAGGGAAGAAGACCCTGACTATCAGGCAACATGCCCTAATGGGTCAGGCCTGCTGGGGAATGGAATCATGTCCCCCCATATAACTGGAGCCCTGTCACTTGAGTAACTGAGAACCAAGACTAGACAGCGCTCCAGAGAATAGACATTAGAAAACCAGCCACGGAGTCCTCAGGGCTAATGGCATAAAGGGCCCCAAAGGTCTCTTCTGCCTGATTCTGTATCCCTGTCTAAGCACCTTGTATCTCTTTGACCCTGCTTTGGTTACAGATACACCTATGGGCCCCCTGTCCCCGGCCTCGTGAATGTCCGTGTGTGCCGGAGGTTTTCTCAGGCCAGGTCAGACTGCTATGGAAGAGAAGGCGAGGCTGTGTGTGAGGAATTCACCGGGAAGGTGAGTCCAAGACCCAAGCCCTAAACAGAAGGTGACTGTCTTGGGGAGAGTGATCCACGTCTGTCAAAGGGGCTGTTAGACCTCAGCTGTCATTCTGTGCTCTGTGGTGAGCTCTTTCTCACAGGAGAGATGTACTGGTCTGGAGGAGGTGAGGCCTAGGCTTAGGGACATGAATTCTGAAGAGAAACCCCTCAGGTGAAATCCTGGCCCCATTGAAATCAATGGAAGAATGCCTCTTGACATCAGTTACGTCAGGATTCACCACATGCTGTGTGTTTCTTCTAGCTGGGAAAGAGAGGACTCTGAGGGGGTTTGGATCTGCATGGGATTGAGATGGGGAAGAAAGTGGGAGCAGAGCAGAGGAGAAATCAAGAGGGAACTATAGGATCTTGAAGAGAGAGGGGGAGTGGAAGAGAGGAAAAAAACCAAGGGGAGGAAGAAAGAGAGAGACCGGGGAAGAAGGTAGAGAGAATGTGGTAGAGCAATAGAGAGGGAAAAGAAGAATATGAAGGAGAAGAAAGTGACAGAGAGAAAATAGAGCTGCATTAGACACAGATAGAGGGAAGGGAAAAGAAGGAGTCGGGCTGGACCAAGCCAATAAGAGGCTGGGATTAGGGCAAACCAAGCAGCTGGCAAACCTCTGGGGTGCTGGGCTATCTGATCGTGTTCCCGCAGACCTGAATTGAACAGGGATTTGCAGGGTGATTCCCTCTTTGGTCTCTCTCTCAGGCGGACAGTCAAGGCTGTGTCTCCAGTGTGGTGAAGACTAAAATATTCCAGCTCAAGCGAAACGGTTACGAGATGAAAATTGAGGTGGAAGGCAAGATCACAGAAGAGGGTACAGGTATGCCTCGTGCTGACCTGTGGCACTGTGGGTTTGCTCTGCAGTAGCAATGGGTGTTGCAAGCCGGCACTGAAGGGCCCAGGCACAACTGGACAACATGAGGCGGGTGGTGGAGATGGTGGAGGAGGGGAGAATGGAAGCATCTGGAAGGTCAGTGCACTGGTTCAGGCCCCTCATTGCCATGTTTCCTTGCAGGGGTGGAGCTAACTGGGACAGACTCCAGTGAGATCACAGGTACCATGAGCAAAATCAGCTTTGAGCAGGTGGACTCTCATTACCGGCCGGGGATCCCCTTCTTCGGGCAGGTAGGGAACCTCTGAGAGCCCAGGCAGTTACAAGACGTGGGTGTGCTTGTCTGTGAGAATGGGACCTTGCCACGTGACAGGGACAAACCATGGGGACTGGAGCCATGTCTCCCTGCCTCTGCACATGCTGCAATATCCTTGCCATTAGTGGGGATGGCAGCACCCTTGTCTGACCCCTTGGCGCTGTCAGAGACAAGTAGACTCATTGATGAGAAAACGAGTGAAACAAAGGGTGAGTCAAGAAGACTCACTGATGTGAGCCGGCACAGTCCTCCCCACATTCCCTCTCCCCCCACAGGGCGAGACCGTGGGCAGCGGGCCAGTAGGACATTGGGAGCTGTAAGCAATGGTGATTGGATTCACTCCTTTAGGTGAAGCTGGTGGATGGGACTGATGCTCCAATCGCCAACGAAAGAATCCAGATTTCCATGGGGGGAAACAAATACGCGACGAATAAAACGGGCCAAGTCTGGTTTTCCATAGACACTGTCAACTTCACAGACACCTCTATTCAGATTGCGGTAAGTGGCTGAATCCAGGGACCTAGGGGGTGGGAGGTGTCACTGACTCAGCTCCCAGGGAGCATCCTCGGGTTTACTGATCTCTGCATTCGTCAGGAGATAAAACAAAGATTGTCTGGTTGGCTGGGAATTTCAGTTTCCTCCTCTCTATGCCTGGATCTCTCTGGTTAGCACACGCTCTGTCACTCTCCCTCTGGTTCTCCGGCTCTAGCCCCATGGCAGTATGAGAAATGCAGATCAACGCGCTGTGCCTTGGAGAATCTGCAAAGGCCGTGTTGAGAGCATGGCCGCTTCCTTCTGAAATGGGAGGAGATGTGTTACCCACTCTTTGATCTGATGTGGAAATGTTCTTCTTTGTCAGGCCACACATAAATCGGAACTGAACTGTTACGACAGCACCTGGGTCACCCCCGAGTACGGTAGTGCCCATCACTCAGTGACGCGCTTTTACTCCCCGAGTCAGAGCTTTCTCAAAATCGAGCCCGTGCCTCAGACTTTTAGCTGCGGCTCCAGTGTGGGAGTCCGGGTGCACTATATCCTGAAGCCAGAGGCCGTGCGGGAACAGAAGGAAATCGTCTTCTACTACTTGGTAAGCCCAGACCCCCAGAGACACAGGACGCAGAACCCAGACCCCTGGAGACCTTTACCTCCTGACACAGGACACAACGCCCAGACCCCCAGAGACCTTTACCTCTTGGACACAGGACGCAGAACCCAGACCCCCGGAGACCTTTACCTCTTGGACACAGGACCCAGCTCCCAGACCCCCAGAGACCTTTACCTCCTGACACAGGACACAACGCCCAGACCCCCAGAGACCTTTACCTCTTGGACACAGGACGCAGAACCCAGACCCCCGGAGACCTTTACCTCCTGACACAGGACACAGCACTGGAAGCCAGACATCCATATATGTCCCATGTCACCAAACTACCCTGAGGGCAGGTTCACTTGACTTGACAGATACGTGTAAAAGCCACGCAGGGAAATGCAGAATTGCCCAGGGAGTGAACGGCCTCTGCTGGGAGAGAGAACTTCTGACTTGGTCCAGGTCAACACAACGCCCAGACACCCAGCGACCTTTACCTCCTGACACAGGACACAGCACTGGAAGCCAGACATCCATATATGTCCCATGTCACCAAACTACCCTGAGGGCAGGTTCACTTGACTTGACAGATACGTGTAAAAGCCACGCAGGGAAATGCAGAATTGCCCAGGGAGTGAACGGCCTCTGCTGGGAGAGAGAACTTCTGACTTGGTCCAGGTCCCAGTAAAGTCCCGTCTGGGTCTGGGACTCTGTGAGACTCCGGGGGTCAGTACAGACCCTCAGCCCCAGCCCAGCCTTCCCTGTGAGCATCCTGCCCCCATCCCCCACCAGGTCCCTGTGACAGGAGTTTTCTTCTTACTGGCAGGTGATGGCCAAGGGAGGCATCGTGAGGGCAGGCACCAAGGAGCATCCTGTGGGGGATGGGGAACGTGAGTAGAGCCGTGTGAATAAAGGAGTTGCCTGGTCACTGGCTGAACAGAAGCCCCCGTCCCTCCCGCCCCCAAAAAAACCCAATTGTTTGGGGGCAACTGAATCATTTCACTTTTCTTTAGAGTTGCTTTAATCTCTTTTGTAAATAGAATTGAAGGGAAATTTCAAAACAGCTCTTCAGTTTCATTGAAAAATTGAACCTTTTGTTTAGGAAGTGCTGAAACAAACCTTCTCATTCGTTCTAATTTTGTTTCTGTCCAAAATCATTTGGTGAATTTAACCTAAATATGTGAAATGCTTTGGTCTCCCTCAGTCGGCACTTTTCACCACAGAAAAAATGCACCTGAAAAATTTCAGCCTGTTCTTATTGTGAGCTTGTGCCACCCC